AAAAAGCCATCATTATATTTCTCGAAAGAGACTTCTTTGGCAGTGCACAACACGGATTTCAACGAAATCACTCCTGTCAGATCTATAGGCTTTGTTCTATAAAGCAGTGTTTCAGGTTATAAGATGAAAGTACTAAATTCGAAGTTACCTACATCCACTTCAAAAAAGCCTTCGATAGCACCCAACACCAACTCTACTGAACAAGGTTCGAGAAGCAGAGATAAGGAGAAATTTAATGAATTAGATTTTTAAAAAAACTTTTTTTAATTTGCCAATCGCAGACCGTGTGCACTGGCAATGGGAAATCCACTTCAGAGCTCCGTTCTTGGGCCAATATTGTTCTGAATCTACGTCAGCGACCGCAGGCATGGACTGGACAGCAATGGAATCATAACCAACAAACTCTGCAAGAAGGAATTCACCAAAAATTCGGAACACTTTAGTCAGTTCTTCGAATCTATTTTCACTGAGGAGCCAGAATTCAATCAGGAAGTATTCCACGTACGGTGTAAGGACGCAATAGTGGATGACACTGATTTTTTACAGTTTATATATCACATCAGGGACTGAGCTATGCCCGAAAAAAATCCTCAAAGTATTGATACCATAACACTTCCACCCAATCCCCCTTCCCCCCGTCTGTTGTAACCTCTGCCTCCAAAAGCTCTAGTGCATAATCCTCAACTGCAACATTTTCAGATGTTTTGGCTTGTTTTTATGGAGGATAGACGGTCACGGTAAGCGAGGAATATATATGAAGTGAGTCTCGGCAAATTTTCTAAGCAGTTACATCCTTATATATTAGACAAATTAAAATTTTTCTGAAAACACATAAAAAGAGAAGTTCATTAAAAAAGTTCAACTAAAGGTCAGTATCTCTGAAGTTGCTAAAGAACGACTAAATAACGTCCACGACCATTGTTGTTATATCGCATAGAATTAATTAACAAATCTGGGCTTTCATTTCGGCGGTGCAGCTGAACGTCCGCCAAATGAATCAGCGTCCAGCTTGGCTTTGTGATTATATGTTTTGGCGTTTGGGTTTTATATTTACCCAAGAGTGTATCTACGGATTCTTTTTGTAAAAATGTCCGCCGACGATTCGGAGATTATCAATTTGCTGCAAATTAGTCCCTCGAATCGTACAGTTGAGGTACGTTTTTGTACTTCAAAAATCCACTTTAAGAAATCCCCTTTTCTAAACATTTGCTTAATGCAGACTGCGTAATGCCTTCATTGCATGCGTATTTGATACTTTTAGATCATTCCCTCCGTTTCTGCTTTAATAAATTCCATTGTTTTTATCTTTTCGTTGAGTAAAAATCATAAGTTTAGCTTTATGCAGTTCATAAGTCGCATCGAAAAATTCCAAACTGGTACCGTCTTACCCGATATGATGCATCATTCTAATACATTTAAGTTTTATCTCATCATCTAACTATATTAATACTTTTGTCGCATACATGACATTAATTAGATTTATGACTTTCCTTTAATTGCATTTGGAAATCCCGTAATTCCCACTATCTTCCTATTTGTATTTTGGTCTTTAAATGCGAACATGCTGGATTATTTTCTTTTCAAAATAGTTTTAACTGTTATTTTCCTAACGATTAGATCAAGGAATGTTTTTTGTTAAGCATGAGTGATCGTAC